TAAACAAATAAATTGTTTTGTGTACACATTAAAGTATTGTATGAAATTGTCTTTAAGTGATATGTGCATATGAAACAAATGAATTTCATATTTGGATTAGGGTCCCATCTCAAAAATATTTTTGTGTCATATGTATATGCAAATGCAGGTATTCCAAAATTTCAAATCCCAAATACTTCTGGTTCCAAGCATTTAAGATAAAGGGTCCTTAACCTGTATCAATCAGTCTCATCTCATGAAGGCAATTGAATCGAAATGCCTTTTACAACTCAGTGCAATGGAAGGAAAAAGCCATTACAATCGTCAAGTCATTAAGATGAAGGCTGTGTTCCCAAGACTGGTTATTAAATAAGGACAGCCAAAAGTACTTCAGCTCTTGAGTGACACCATCTTCATCATGCTGTGTAGGAGGAATGCCTATTCTCTTCGGTTGGATTTTGCCCTTAGAAAATGGAGACTGTTTGTGCTTCTTTGTTTTTTTCCAACTCGTTGCTATTTCTCTCCACTCTCTCTTAACTATGGCACGAGGGTCTAAAGTTCTGAGCTTCGAAGAAGCTGTGAGTTGAGGTAAAACTTGCTGAACAGTAAGATTTCCCAGTGGTCCTTCCAGTTTGCTCTGCGCAAGTGGACTGCACATATCTTCCTGCTCCAGTTGTCATTAATTGATCCATCAACACAACCTGGGCTCAGTCCCAGGATTCAGTCATTCGGATTGGCTGTCTATCCAGGCAGAACACATGGTAAGGCTGTTTATAACACTCTGTGCCCAGAACCAATTGCTGTTTTTAATGCATATCTGCATTTTATTATGCCAGTGCCAAATATACTTATGCGGTGCTGGATGTCCTTGTCTTGGCATAGTAATATTTTAGACTCACATTGAAAGACTATATACCCAGTTTTAAAGAAGAAAAAATGGCACTTTATTATCAGCACACCACCAGCTTCTGTAGAATATATATACATGTCAGTGTAATCCAGGGTTGTGAATGAACACTAGGAGTGCTAACTACTGGAAAGAAAATCTTAGTCCAAACGTTTTACCATATCTGTAGCCTCCATTGCTGGGCATGATAGGAGAAAGCATCTTGCCCAATTTCCTAATTACTATTTTGTTATTTATTTCAAATGATTTCACTTTAATTTTCTTGCCAACCCAGGCATATTGGGACTGGACAGGGTGCTGTATTTGTTTTGACATTCTTGTAGATCTTGTGTGTTTGAAGTATAAAATGATGGTGGTCTCAATGCCCTGGCATTGATAGAGCTAAGAATCGATACTGCTTGATCTGGTTCATTCACATAGACAATAGTGAGCAATGCTGAAACAAAATTCTGGATTAGGAAGCCCCTTACCCTGATTCAACATGATTTTTTTAAAAAAATCTTAGTGATAGGATTGTGATAGTTATCAATAATTGCATAGGAGCGACATGTAGAAAGCTGATGAGGAGAAACCAAGCTGGCAACCTACTGGCTTCCACTTGTTCAAACATGCCACCACCGGCTTCCCAGTCCTAATTGGTGCGAGCTTAGTGCTGGTCATGCATATGACCACCTTGCCTCCTGCTAGATTCATGTCCACTTAAGGATGTGCTGCAGCAGTGGAAAAATTGAGTTCATTTTCAAGTATCCAAGAAAAAGAGGTGAATTGGTCAGGATGGATCAGAGGCAGGATCTCCTTCTCTATTGAAAAGATATGGGAAGAAGGACAAGCTCATCCATTTCATTCAGGTTGTCAAGAGAATAAAGCAAAGTAGTTTTGTTTCCTACATATCTCATTGATAAACAATGCATTTATGTGTTTTGACTTCAAATTTTCTCAACTTCTCTGCTCTATATGTAGATATTTCGTCTCTGAATCTGGATTGTGATGTGATGTGTGTATTGTGTGTGAATACTATTGTTTAATATTGTGTGTATTGTGTGTGAATACTATTGTGTGTGAATACCAGGTTTCAGCGGTGACCAGGGGAGCATTTGCACAGTTAAAGCTTGTGCGCCAGCTGCGCCCGTACCTTGGGAAGTCTGACTTGGCCATGGTAGTCCACGCTCTGGTTACATCCCGTTTAGACTACTGCAACGCTCTCTACATGGGGTTGCCTTTGAAGACTGCTCGGAAGCTTTAGTCCAACGCTCGGCAGCCATGATACTAACAGGAGCGGAGCGCAGGGAGCATACAACTCCTCTGCTGCACCAGCTCCACTGGCTGCCGATTTGCTACCGGGCTCAATTCAAAGTGCTGACGTTGGCCTATAAAGCCCTAATCGGTTCTGGCCCAAGCTACCTATCCGAACGTATCTCTGCCTATGAACCCACCAGGACTCTAAGATCTTCTGGGGAGGCCCTGCTCTTGATCTCGCCTGCATCGCAAGCACGGCTGGTGGGGACGAGGGACAGGGCCTTCTCTGTGGTGGCCCCTCGGCTGTGGAACGCCCTTCCCATGGACATTAGATCAGCTCCTTCGTTAATGGTGTTCCGAAGAAAACTAAAAACCTGGCTGTTTGAACAGGCATTCGGATAAACAGTGCAATGAATACGATGAATATAGGAACGGAATTATGGATGACGAATTGGATCACGATTCTAGTTACGAGACGTTAATGTGTTGTTATTGATATGTCATTATTTTGTATATTATGCTGTTAATGGTTTTAAATATTGTATGTTGTACAATTGACTTTTTTGCTCTTGTTGTGAACCGCATTGAGTTGCCTACGGGCTGAGAAACTGCGGTATACAAGCAAAGTAAATAAATAAATAAATAAATACTACACTTTCAATGAGTAGAGCATTTTTGTTTCAGTTCCAGACCAACTTCTTTCTTGGAGAATCACAGCTAAGGATAGATGAGTAGCCTATTTTTGGTCTAGAAAGATTCCAACATGTTTCTTTAGAACTTTGCATGTTAATACACGATTCAAATATATATGTATGTGTATACCTGTATTTATTTGATCTTAGAAGTACGCATTTCAAAACATTTTTTATCCTATAATGTGCATTTTAATACATACATTGACATACATTTTAAGTCCATAAATTTAACTGTGTTCTGATTCACATTTTTGTACAATGGATGCAGACAAGGGTTATTCGCCTGTTTTGAAATGTTAAATGGAGAAGTTCCTTAGGTATCTCTGATCCCAGTTCTCTTGCAGATCTTACTTTGTTGTGAGAATTGGATTTTTGTTTTTCGAAGATTTGGTCAAATTGAGCAGTACCCAACCCAACCTCACCCATAAAATGTCAAACTGTTGGTTTACAAAATTAACATCAGCATATGTTATTAATTATTATAATTTAATCATAATGTTAACAATAAATATCATTTAAAGAAACCTTATTAGACCACAGTGGTGAAATTCCATGAGTGGGCACCCCATTATATTAGAACTGATCATGTGTTATGGGAAGATGATGCAATTGACCATTAAGTGAATCCCATTCAAGCCGATTAATCCTAGTCATCAACTGGAAAGAGAAACAAGATAATATGAGTACATATTTGAATGGGTCTGTCTTTGCATCTTGGTTTATATAATTAAGTTTAAGACTGATGTCTATTATAGTTGCCCAACTGTTTCAAGAGTAATTTTGCAGCTGAACTAGAACTTGGTTCCGGATATTGGATCCTTGACTGATAAGCCATGTCCATTGCAGAATTCTGGTCAAAAGAAAGAACATGAACAAGAATTGTCCAAGTGGACTTGCAAAACTGGGCATCTTCACTTACAGTAAGCTAGAGATGGTAACAAGAAGTAAAACTTAATCTTTATCTATGATTAAGCAAAGTAAGATTAAGCAAAGGGCAGCCTTTATTTCTCTCCTTTTTCCTGGCCAGAGGCCAGCTTTGCTTTTGCTTACTGCAATCAGTTATGGGTCTACTAAAACCTGGCCTGCCCAAAGAGACCACAAGAGCAACTCACATTCTGAAAAGGATCGAACATAAAGATTGCCTTAATTTCGGATTAGCAATAGGATTATTATCTGTTTTATTTGTCAATATTTGTCTCACAAATCTGTGTATTTGTTAGATCCCCCAAAGCCAGGCTTTAGTCTCTACATGTAAGCAGGCACACAACTGCCTGTTTCTGCATACCTTTTAGAATAATAGAATAATAGAGTTGGAAGAGACCACATGGGCCATCTAGTCCAACCCTGTGTCATGCAGAAAAAGCACAATCAAAGTATCCCTGACAGATGGCCATCCAGCCTGTGTTTAAAAGCTTCCAAGGAAGGAGCTTCCATCACACTCAAAGGCTGAGAGTTTCCCTGGGTTTTTTTTTGTCCTATCCCCCAATTGTATTTCCATGTTGCTATTTTGAGTAGCCAGGGCTTACTAATTTCCAGTGATCTCCTCTGTTTTAATGTCTTCATTCCACTGGAAGAACATTTAAAATTCAGGCTCTGTTTGGCCTTTCATGGACTCTTAAACAGGAGTGTGGCTGGCAGCTGGTTGGGTGGTGGAGCAAAGCAAAGCCAGTGTTAAATTAGTAGGTTTTTAGCAAAGGTGCGAGCACTGCAAATTTGTCAAAACCTCTGTTATGCAGGATGTGAAATTTGATTTTCTGCTAACTGGCTCAGATTTGTAGAGTGAGTTATTTGATTGAAAATAATCAAGGGATTTTATTTCAGCTGTCTATGGAAACTTTGTTTTGTCTGGAAGGAATAATGTTACTTCAGTAGCAGTACATTATTCTAACAAATGGAATATCATTGTCCTCGAGAAAACAAACACTCAGAGCTGTTTCCTTAATTGCTAGTTATTTGTCTTGATTATTTTGCATTTCAAAGTGTATGAAATTCACATCCTTTTATGTGCAGCTAATGTCTGTGGAAGTGAATTGCAGTGCTGAGTGCTACCAGGCAAGGTACTTGCTCTTGAAGTGGGAGGGAGGAGAAATGCTTTCTGACTCCTGGAAAGAGTCTCTGCAATGACTGCTGCCTATACTGAGTTCAAACCCAGTGGGGATAACAACCCTTGTTTCTCCTGCTAGAACATCCACCTGGTAGCCAAATGGCTGAGTTCCCTGGAGAAGAAGCTGGAGCAGCACAGCGAAGGCAGTCACCCTGAGTTCCGCGTCTTCATCAGTGCCGAGCCTGCAGCTTCACCTGAAGGCCACATCATACCCCAGGGCATCCTGGAGAACTCCATCAAAATCACAAATGAACCCCCAACAGGGATGCATGCCAACCTCCACAAGGCACTGGATAACTTTAACCAGGTATTAGGTGACCCCGTGGAGGTTCTTAGTGTCTGTAATGGTAGCTGGGTAGGGAGCTGCACTTACAAATACCCAGTACTTATGGCGACCCATGCAGAGTTTTGTAGGATTGCACTAAGTTTGACATGGATGGGTTTACTTAATCTACAGTAATACAAATCAAATACTGTGTGGCACTTCTATGTGTAATAGAGCTCTCTTGATTAAAGCCTGTACTTGTAGAACAATGTTTGCACAGTGTCTCCTTTCAGCATTTCATGTACATCCCTGGGAGGTGTTTTTCTGTTCCCTTAAAAAAGCTAGTCTTGCACTTGTCATGATAAGGAGACACTAGCAATTTCCTTGGGTTAGGGCAGTAAGTAGAAAATCACGCTGCAAGGCCACTGTGGTTTAAATAGGCCTTCTCTAGTCTTTCTCTGTCAGGAGGGGATGAACGTCTGAATCTGCAAATCCTAGGATGCAGGATTTGGGTGATCAATCGCAAAGCAGAAATGTGCTTTCTTTTCTTGAACACTGTTGTAGCTCCTGCTATGGCAGTATTCTCTGGGATGAGAAATCTGTGTGCGGCTAAGGCTCTTTCTGTTTTCATCTGCTGTCATTCACCATCCCAGATTCTAGGAAAGGGGAGGGGAAACTTTATCTTATTCATAATCTGTCTTTGCAAATCAAATCAAATAGTAAGTAATGTTCTCAAAATAGCTAGGTTCTCACAAAATATCTCTTATAACCCAAATCTTGATGTGGCAGGGAACAGTGGCCTCAAACTTAATTTGAATGCTTTGAGCCACTGTTCTGACAATCAGAAGTCGAGTTCAAATGGAACAGAGTCAGAAAGAGCTTATTATTATATTCATTTTTAACAAAGAGTTTGGTTTGGTGTTGCTTCATCATAATGTCAGTATTTCAGCTTTGCAGCTGGAAATACCAGTGATGCCAAATAAAGGCAGGGAATGTTTTATCTAAAGTTTTTATTTTTTGCTATTTTTGCAACTTGGAATCTGGAAGATCTGAGGGAAATAAGCTGATACTCCAGTTCCCAATTGGGGACATCGTTGTAACCCAACCAGCTAACCAAGCAATATTAACAGGCTTTTGTTAATCTGTTATGAAGAGCCAACATTTGTTAACAATTCATCTTGATAGTATGCTGTGGGCATATTCTTTCTTTTGTATTAATAGTAGAGGGCTAATGGGATTCTGAAAAGGTCAAATAGACCTGTTGTGAAATGATTGATTTTGCTGAAAATATCCTAACCTGACGTAGGAAAAAATGTGCTTCTGGTAATTGGTCATTCAGGCTCTGCTATGCCCTTCCATCCTTCCCTCTGCTTTGCTGGCTCACCTTCCTCCAGGTCTCACTCCTTTCTCCTGACCCACCACCAAATTTCTCTGTTTCTCACTCTTTCTTTGAGCACTCTGCCAGGCTGGCCTACATCTCTTTTCCTAGGAGACATCAATCCAGCAATGAAGAGATAGCATTGGTGGATCAGAGGCCGAGCTGCAGTGGACAGGTTGGAAATCCCAGGATATTAAAAAAAATGTGCTCAGATATTTTAGTTCTGAAAATGAAGACATGTCCGGGAAAAGAAGGCTTTATGATAACCTTGTACCAGCAAATGTAATGTTAGGAGAATTCATATGACCAAAGATACGGCAATCAAATGTCCCCATTTGGACAACCTTATAACTGAGGGGGCACCTGAAATTAAATAGGTTGACTCCTTCATTGTGCTAATTAGAGAAAACATCTGTCTCCCTTCCTTCCTTTGCCTTCTAGGACACCTTGGAGATGTGTTCACGTGAAAATGAGTTTAAGAGCATCCTCTTTGCCCTCTGCTATTTCCATGCTGTTGTAGCCGAAAGGCGCAAGTTTGGGCCACAGGGCTGGAATCGATCCTACCCTTTTAACACTGGGGATCTCACCATTTCTGTCAATGTTCTATACAATTACTTGGAGGCTAGTTCAAAGGTGAGCTGCATTAATATATACACCCATGCCTATCTCATGTCTATCTGTATCATCGGCCTTTTTTGTTATATATGTCATATTATATCTATCTATCTATCTACCAATTTTCCTGCCACTTTCTTCTACTATAGTATGCTCGTGTCTCTGAATGGCTATTTCTGCTCTGTGTATTTCTATACTGCAACTTTTTTTTTGAAAACACATGTCTGCCAGGTTTAATGTGTCTAGTCTCAATTGCTGGGAAAAGCCTTGTTTTAAGTAACAATCCTCCCACCTTTTCTCCCTTCCCCTCATCATACATACATATATATACATACACACAGTCTGTTCAGCAGTCTGGGTTTCTTCAAATAAATCTCTTGTGTATAGCACAGAGCAATTTGACTGCTACATGCTATTTACTTTAAAAAAAATGAACAGGGGAAGTGAATGCATTGTCTGAAGCAATCAGCTTTAGAAGACTACAGAGCAATTCATCTACAGCTACAAAGCAAGACCTATTGTAATCTGTTTCCAACATCTCATCCACTGTTGTTCAGGTTCCTTATGATGATCTACGGTACCTCTTTGGAGAGATCATGTATGGAGGACACATCACAGATGACTGGGACAGGCGTCTCTGCAAGACCTACTTGGAGGAGTTCATCAAGCCTGAAATGCTGGAGGGAGAATTCATGCTGGCACCAGGATTTCCGCTCCCAGGGAACATGGATTACAACAGCTATCACCAGGTAGCCTCACTTCATTCATCCATTCAATACATTTATATTCCATCTTTTTTTCAAATGAGACCCAAGATAAAACAAAGTACATGAATGAAAAACAAGTAATAAAAAGTCAAAATAAAACCTCCAAATTAACATATCAGTCCGTTAATACAATTTGAACTGTTTTAACAGTATAACAAAAATAGTAAAAATGCAGCATCTGCTTGCCCCCACAGCTCTACAGCTTGAAATGTTAATTTGGAAAATTTATTCCATAATTTTAAGTGTTAGAAATTGGGAAATTAATTCATTCTCACTCTGACTAATTAAAATTATTTCACTGGCTTGGTTGCTGTTGCTGGTTAACTCATTATTTAAAATGATTGTTCCCAGGACAGAACAGGGAATTTACACAGAATGATTTGGAAGTGATCAGTGCTGACTACAAGGAAGTACATTTTGTCATCGGGATTGTCAAAACTACTTTTAAAATTGTCTTTACCCATGCCTGGAATTTCTTTTCTCCAGTAGACCGTAAAACTCATAATTGCTGAAAATGGCGGGAATTACAAATTGTTTGAAAATGGTCAGTTTGAGAAAGGGTTGTCCTAAACTATAGAAACCCAACTTGCAACCTGTTCAAATAAGTTTTTTCACCAATTTGTATGTACCTCTTGAACACCAATATGTTGAAGTGTCTTGATCATTACATGTCGATGTGGAGGGATGTTAAAGTAGGGTTGGGAATAATGTGTCCTTCCAGAAGTTGTTGAACTGCAGTTTCCAGTATTTCTGATTATTGAATAGGTTTGTTGGGAGTTGTAATCCAAGAACATCTGGAAGATCACATGATTCCTACCCTTGTGGTAAAGGACAGTAAGGAATTATATATTCTAGGAATGTTGTGACAGTAATTCAGTGCAAACACAACAATAAGTGGTTGGCTGCAAAGATCGGTTAATTCATCAAGTATTCTCTATCATTAATGTTTTGAGTACTTCTGAGCACATAGAGAACATTTTTTGCACAACTGAATCGCTTCATGCACTTCGTCTCTCCACTTACTGGCAAAAAGTATAATCTGCAAAGATCAGTGGTAGAGCCATATATTGTGCTCATTTAGTTGAATGATACTTTTTCTGGGTAGTTTTTTTTTAAATAAAGGTGTTCCTTTTCTTTTAAAAAGGAAGATACTTCTCTTTGGCACGGGAGACTGTAGATCAGTGGTTCTTAACCATGGATCCCCAGGTGTTTTGGCCTACAACTCCCAGAAATCCCAGCCAGTTTACAAGCTGTTAGGATTTCTGGGAGTTGAAGGCCAAAAGATCTGGGGACCCCAGGTTGAGAACCACTGCTGTAGATCTATCTATTTGTATAGACCAAACCCCACAAAGTTGTGTGATGCCTAGAAGGGGTATGTGGAGGAGAGGGGAAGCCAAGAAAGAAGGACAACTTTCTATATAATTACTGAAGTGCTTAGTCTTGGGTGAACAATTGGAAGTACACAGTAGGATTACAAAGAGGCTTAATGTCAAATGCAATGCCATCCATTTTAACAACATGTAACCTAACTCTTTAAAGCTGAGGATTTATTTTTGCATGAATCCGTTAGTCTAGTGAATTTTTAACAATAGGTTACAAAGAGTTGTAACTTGAATTTAGCAAGTTAAAAATTAATGAGCTCATTAATTAGTAATTTCATAGCTTAGGCCTGTTCTAGTAATGCTCATGATTGTAACTGTTTAGTTTTATTGATACTATAATTATATTCTAAACTTCTGTATGATGTGAATTTTAAGCTGTATCTATTTTAACTCTTGTGAGCCTTGTTGAATTATAAGCTAGGAAAAGAGTGTAAGTAGTATTCACCGTAGTAATACATATTTCTTTGATGTCTCATTGCCATTTCATATGAGAGAGTGACAGGAAACACTGAGTTTCCTGTCACTCTCTAATTTGTCATGTTTGTTGGTGGGTGGTTCATTTTCCAGTCCTTTTCAGCTGACAGTCATCTCTGAAGAGCTTGCTTTAATGGTGATGTAACAGTTCATCATGCACTTGTTCACTTCATGCATGGATAGAAAAAGCACTTTTGTTTGTCCAAACCTAGTGGAAAATGACACCAGTTTGCAAAAAGACTCCAGGCTGCAATTTTATATGCACTTACCTGACATAAATCCTACCGGTCACTGTGGGTTACTTCTAGTTGGAAAGTTGTAGGATTGTGCTGGTCATCATCTGTTGAGGAAACCCTGAAGATTGACACAAAAGTGGCCCCTCACTGATGACCACTAGCCACAATGATCTTCTCCTAACCAAGTTTTGAGATTTTTTGCTTTCCGGATGCACATTAAATCAAGTGAAAAAATGGCTCTATGTTGGATATTCATAACAGCTTTAGTAACTGGTAATGTTTGCAACTGGTCTGGTTATTAGTACACCGCATTGTTACCCAATATGACTTTGTACCACTTTGGCTAATGAAGAGGCATCTGTCTGTCCTTTTGATAGACTTATGGGCTCAGTTTGCATATGATTTATCTTCTTTCCAGTACATAGATGATACCTTGCCTGCTGAGTCCCCCTACCTTTATGGACTCCACCCCAATGCAGAAATTGGGTTTTTGACCCAAACCTCAGAGAAGCTCTTCCGTACTGTTTTGGAACTGCAGCCCCGTGACACCAGCCTCGGAGAAGGTGGAGGGGCCACCCGGGAGGAAAAGGTGAGTGCAGGGAACATACTGGAAACAGTCATTGGCATTCTGGTGTGACTTTGCCATGGTTTCATTTTGTAACTCCAAATACTATCCAAGATATGAAAAACACACATAAGCCATTCAATTTTAGGTAAGCAGCAGACACACTTATTTGGTGCTAAGGAATGTCCTTGAACTCAATAGTTCCAGTTACGATTCTTTGTAGCCATTGTTAAGAAATGTTGTTGGTGACATTGGCAATCATTTCAGCCTAAATAATGGTGGAAGTACATTGTGGCTGTCACATAAAATGCCAATAAATTGAAGCGGAGGTTCATCCAGATGGTGGGTTCTCATCTTTCAAGTTTGCTACTGCAATGCATAACAAAGAGAATGGGAAGTGCCTTGGGGCAGGTTCCTTTTTCCTGCCACATTCATGCATGGAGCTCAGCAAGTTATGACTGCAGGTTCAAGCCTGCAGACTCATACACTTGTCTATGGCAGATTGGAGCACCACCAAAGCCCGGAATTGTGGGGATGGGAATAGTGGACAGCAGAGGACTCCATTATGGTTTCCACCACATCAACTGGATATAGGCCAGGGTTCACATGTTATTGAATTGAAATCCAGTAAAATGCATACATTCAAAAATGTTTATGGAAAAATACTCAAATTTCAATGCACACAAAACCGCATCCCAAATAAACTTCAAACAATAACAGGGATGCTTGTAGACAAGGTGTGAGACCTGGAAAATGTGCCCCCAAAGTGTAGGTTTTTTGAAGCTCTATTTAAAATGCAATAAATTTTGGACATAAAAAAGCAGCCATGGATCAGAGGTGGAGTTGGTGAGAGGATGACATCTTCTCACTGCAGATTTGATATATATGCACATTCTTAATCGGATTTGAGGTTGGCAGTTTCTCCATTTCTCTCTCTCTTCTTACTTGACTCAAGTCTACTGCCTTCCCACAGTATGGAGTTTTTTTTTTAAAAAAAATATATGCTGAAGGGCAAAAAAACCCCAAAAAACACTATCTGTGCAAGTTGTCTTAAATTCCCTTTAGGGAAAGTTTTACTTCATTAAAAGTCTAGTCTATGCCTTAAGAGGTGCAGAAAGGTCAATATTAGAAATGTGGTTATGAGCACTATTTTGCCTTGTGATTTACAAAGAGGATCTTTATAACCAAACTGAGGATCTTTATATCCAGAGCCTACAATTTGGTTCCTGCTTATCCTACAGAGAGACTGGAATGTAAGTAGTTGACACCAGTCTTATTATTTCTGACATTTTAGAGCAAAGACTACTTGCTTTAGGTAGTAAAGATTTTCAAACTGCCATGTACATAACCTCTTCTGCAACACAATTGCAGTCACACATGCTCTGTTTGGGGATGTCATCAAATCATAGTTTCTTCTTGAGTGAAAGTGAAACCGATGAGGCATGTAACATGCTCCCAACATGTAAAAAAGCATATGATTCCCAGAACTCCAGGCTTTTGTTGATAATGCCATTGACCACAGAATTCGAAGTGCAGCGTGTGCCTGGGCAAACAGATGCAGTTTTGGGACATGTAGCACCCACCTTTCACTGTCAAGAAATTAAAATTGTATTTGTTCTTCTCCTGGTTGTCTTTTATCAAAAGATACACCTGCAAAGGCGAGTTTCTCTTCAAGGGATTTTAATGATCAGTGACTGCATCATATATAGATAGATAGATAGATAGATAGATAGATAGATAGATAGATAGATAGATAGATAGATAGATGCTTCAGGTGAAATTAAGATCAACATAAGAATCTGTTTAGTCCTCCCTCAAAAATTTTGCTTTTCACTTTTCTCAAAATTCCTTTAAGCCTGAAAGAACTATAATGTTAATGTTCTTTTTTTTTCAATGTAAAATGCCCATGAGCACTCTGTTCTACAGCTCTAAGCAAAAGGGATCACATAATTGCGGACCTGTAAGATATCTCAGAGGTCCAAGCCTGTCAATTTATTTACAACAAATTGACAGAAAAAGAAGTTCAATACACTGTAACGGTATGTAGTAATTACTGTATTTATGAATTTAGCACCAAAATATCACAATGTATTAAAACAGTTGTGGATCCGGGTGGGAGGCAGACTTCGTTGGATAATATAGAACGTTGGATGAGCAAAGGTTTGATAAGTGTATAAATACGTGTCTCTGACAGTAGCCACTCAGCCTTCAGTGAAGGAGAAATCACTATCTTATAAGATGGTCTCTTCTGCTGTTGATCAGGTCTTATGGCCAAGGATGTAAATCCTAACCTATTTCATCTTTACATGATAGAATGAATGGTTATAGTGGTTTTCACTTCAGTTCAAGAGAAAATAAATATCCCTATACAGTGTTCTCCCTATAGTTGAAAATTGGACTAAATTCTCATTGGTCTGTTACTCAGAAACTGGATGGGATTCCTGGCTTTTGAGTGACCTGTTTTTCAACCTGAGAAGGAATAGTTGCAAATATTCTTCGTGTGTGCCAGTTTGCCTACTGATAAAGTTTGCTGTCATTATTAGCTTTCAGTTTGTTTGTTTTTTGCTCTACTGGATTTTCTTATTCCTTGTGCTGCAATGATAGATGGGATCCTGAGAAAGCCTCAGCAGAGCTAGCAGCTTTGTAATATTTCTTTTACTGTACACAGAGAAAACCCTGGTAGCAGGGAAGCATATCAGGCTTTCTGGTTTGTGGCAGATATTGCTAACTGGTGACAAGTAACAGACCTGGGAATATCTAGATGTAGGGAATGGTCCAAGAGGCAGTTTCCCATTTAACTGGTATAAATGCATTAGACGGCATTAACGTCCAGCTCATTGTGAGATCTCTCAGAGTAAGGCGCCCAGACTGCTGCAGGCATCCTTGTGAATTGGTGTTTTCTTGTTGAGCTTACAGTATTCTGAGAGAGTTCACCTAAAATTCCATTTAAAATTATCTCTTATGTTTGTCAATAATACATGAATAAAATTGCTCATAAATGGTTTGATAAGGTGTGCTATGCTCTTTGATTTCCCCCGCCTTTTATAGCTTCATTTATCCCAAAGGCACAGGGGAGAACTAACATTTTTAAAAGGGTATGTGTGTGTTAAGGGAGGGAGCTCCTTCCCAATATATAGCATTTTGTAAATTATAAAAGGAGTCCTTTTGTTTCTTGGTATTCAGATTGTAGTGATTCATTAGATGAGTTGATGAAAAGGAGGCAGAATATCGTAGCCTTAGCTGTACTTCTTCAGCAAGAGGTGTTGGCTTTCCCAAGGCAAGTATGAAGGCCAATGGGTAATCCTATTTGCCTTCAAGAAGTAAGGCTCCTCCAGATTGGCCTGAAGAAGTGTGATTTTTGTGCTGTTGCATCTTGGATTTTGCTGAGTTTTTAAATTGTTGTTGTATCTACAAATACCCATTCGATTAGTTTGGGTTAGCTAATGTAGATCTTGGATCTGCACTTGGATTTCCCAAAATGTTTTTTTAATTATTTTTTAAAAAAAAAACACTTTGGGAGATCCAAGTGCAGATCCAAGATCTACATTAGCCAACCCAAACTAATCGAATGGGTATTTGTAGCATGGTTTGCTGAAATGACATTATGTTTTGAAGAGTAACTATTGTTCTATCTATTTCTTTAAAAGGGATACTGATCTAGTGTAAAAATCCTATTTCATTGTTCCAGTGTAGCCATATTTTTTGGGGAAAAATATAGATGTGAATAGAAGGGAAAGTATTGTTCCAATATGTCACAAAATTAAACAGAATCCCACTCAATATGAGAATAAAATGTTGTAGTGGTGCAAGAAATTTCTAGGAAATAGTCCAAAATAACAGACTTCCCATATAAGGCACATCCAGATGGGCTGGAAAAATGACATGACAGAGGTCCATGGGTTTCTTTTTATTTTTGCTCCTTTTGGAGAGCAAGTTCTGTGACATTTTCCCATTCTGAAATATTTCCGGGAAACACAGAATTTTCAAGAATTCTTATTCACAATCTTAGGTCAGTTTAAATTAAACCATTGTGTCTCAAAAGGAAAAGTACCCCTCCACAGTTGCCATTTTTTCAGGATCCTGATTCATCTGAGATCAAGTGAGGCAAAGAGGAATGCTGGCAATAAAAGAAAATGATCATTTTGCTTAACTAGTGTATTATTGTCCCCATAGCCCCTGAAAAATAATTTAGAAAGGCTACCTGGAAATGTGTGGCCGAGCCTTGATATCATGCTTGTACAGTGGAGGTGAAGGAGGAAGAACACAAAGGAGGGGGAGGGAAGGAAACGGGATGTTTCAAGAAAAGGTTTGGATGCAAAGACATGAACATACATACATACATACATACATACATACATACATATGAAATCAAACCAAAAAGAATGTTGTTGTTCATTCGTTCAGTCGTCTCCGACTCTTCGTGACCTCATGGACCAGCCCACGTCAGAGCTCCCTGTCGGCTGTCACCACCCCCAGCTCCTTCAAGGTCAGTCCAGTCACTTCAAGGATGCCATCCATCCATCTTGCCCTTGGTCGGCCCCTCTTCCTTTTGCCTTCCACTTTCCCCAGCATAATTGTCTTCTCTAGGTTTTGCTGTCTCCTCATGATGTGGCCAAAGTACTTCAACTTTGTCTCTAGTATCCTTCCCTCCAATGAGCAGTCAGGCTTTATTTCCTGGAGGATGGACTGGTTGGATCTTCTTGCAGTCCAAGGCACTCTCAGAACTTTCCTCCAACACCACAGTTCAAAAGCATCTATCTTCCTTCGCTCAACCTTCCTAAGGTCCAGCTCTCACATCCGTAGGTTACTACAGGGAATACCATGGCTTTGACTAGGCGGATCTTTGTTGCCAGTCTGATGTCTCTACTCTTTACTATTTTATCGAGACTGGACATTGCTCTCCTCCCAAGAAGTAATCGCCTTCTGATTTCCTGGCCACAGTCTGCATCTGCACTCATCTTTGCACCTAGAAATACAAAGTCTGTCACGGCCTCCATGTTTTCTCCCTCTATTTTCCAGTTGTCAATCTTGTTGCCATAATCTTGGTTTTTTTGATGTTTAGCTGCAATCCAGCTTTTGCGCTTTCTTCTTTCAGCTTGATTAGAAGGCTCCTCAGCTCCTCCTCGCTTTCGGCCATCAGAGTGGTGTCATCTGCATATCTGAGGTTGTTAATGTTTCTTCCAGCAATTTTTACCCCAGCTTTGCATTCATCAATCCCCGCACATCGCATGATGTGTTCTGCATACAAGTTAAAAAGGTTGGGTGAGACTATGCAGCCTTGCCGTACGCCTTTCCCAATCTTGAACCAGTCTGTTGTTCCGTGGTCAGTTCTGACTGTTGCTACTTGGTCCTTGTACAGATTCCTCAGGAGAGAGACAAGGTGGCTTGTGATGCCCATCCCACCAAGAACTTGCCACAATTTATTATGATCCACACAGTCAAAGGCTTTAGAATAGTCAATGAAGCAGAAGTAGATGTTTTTCTGAAACTCCCTGCCTTTCTCCATTATCCAGCGGATATTGGCAATCTGGTCTCTCATTCCTCTGCCTTTTCTAAACCCAGCTTGAACATCTGGCAACTCTCGCTCCATGTATTGCTGGAGTCTTCCTTGCAGGATCTTGAGCATTACCTTACTGGCATGAGAAATAAGGGCCACTGTACGGAAGTTTGAGCAGTCTTTCGCATTTCCCTTTTTTGGTATGGGGATATAAGTTGATTTTTTCCAGTCTGATGGCCATTCTTGTGTTTTCCATATCTGCTGGCATATGGCATGCATCACCTTGACAGCATCATCTTATTTTCATGATTTTTTTCTTTGTAGATAAGCTTTGAGACAGTTTTTAAATCTCCAAGAAATACAGCAACAAGTACTGCAACCTCCCAGTATATGTGTCCCTTCTGGGGAGCCTTAGGTCTCAACAACTTTTTAATCAGATCCCTTTGGTGTGCAGGTGAAGACCCTGTTGGATGATATCCTGGAGAAGCTCACTGATGAATTCAATATCCCTGAACTGATGGCGAAGATAGAAGAGAGGACTCCATATATTGTTGTTGCTTTCCAGGAATGTGAACGGATGAATTTCCTTACAAGTGAAATTCGACGGTCATTGAAGGAGTTGGACCTGGGGCTAAAGGTAGAAGCCTTGTTCAATCATTTGAATAGTGGTGGTGGGGGGCTACAAATTTCAGGTAGGCATAATACATTTTTGTACCTGGAAGAAAGGCTAATATGGCACCCTGCCTCCTATTTTAGATATATAAAAACAGGCTATTGAATTTTGCCTCCAAACTGATAAAGAGATGGCATCCAGTTCATTAACTGAAGGCACCAGGGCAGCTTGCAAATGGCTGGGCAGGCTTCATGATTCACACACTTAGTTACTACTTACAAAATGTAGTCACTTCTCTTCGACCCCAGTTGTTGTTGTTGTTGTTGTTGTTGTTGTTCTTCTTCTTCTTCTTCTTCTTCTTCTTCTTCTTCTTCTTCTTCTTCTCTCATCATCATCATCATCATCATCATCATCATCATCATCATCATCATCATCTTTATTATATCTCACCACAATCTCCCCAAAGGGACTCAGGGCAGCTCACAAGGTACTCCAGGGTGCACATATACGTAACATACAACAGGTAAAAATGGTACAAAAGTATAAAACAAGTTACATAAAGTTATAACAACAAGTATCCAGTATCTTCTACCTGATACTCTAAACCTCTTGATGTCATACACAGGTGTGACTCCTAATTATGCTGGTATATGTATGCCCCTGGATCTGGCTCTCTTCTGAGCTGACCCACCCATAGAACAGCAAGTAAGCCAGCTCACAAGCACAGCTCCTTCATCCCCACCTCTGGCTGACTGTCGGGCTGCTCTCTGTTGTGTTCTGGCTGCTTTTGCAACCCAGGAGCAAGGGGCCTTGCATTGAGGGCAGAGGGTTTCTCAGTGTGTCAGGATGGTCAGAGGGCACCTGGATTCTCCCTGGCAGTGGCTGGGATGCAACTTCCCTCAAATGCTGTTGCTCACTTGGGGGAAGAGAAAGGATAAAGTACTCTCACTTCCCCCAGTCCACAGTGGCTGTGCCATCCTGCCTGCTTTGATTATATAATGAGGCAGCTGTCTCACTCTGCCTAATAACAGGGCTGGTTGTGACCTACTTTATAGATTATAGTAAAGTACACTACATTCCAAAATAGAAAGTTATATAAAATGATAGATAAACTGTAAAACATTAGTTTGCAATATCCATATTTATTTATTTATTTATTTTTAAAAAAACAAATCAAATGATAGAAAAGTACTGCTAAAGGCAGCAATAATATGAAAGCTCAGGATAGCAAATTTATCACAGAGATCTGAGTGGTTGTTTCAGATCAATGTATGAATACATTGTTGGGCTTTTCTTGCCCATATTTGAGTCTTCTTAAAAACCAGCCTAATGAATGTAGAATGAACATAATTGAATTTTGTTGCCAGGGTCCTTAAGTATTGGCTCACTACTCACTTCTCTCCCGTGGCTCTCTGTGTAGCTCTGCTACAGCCTGCTTTCCTTTCATGATCATTTCCCCAACTCCATTGCCAGGATTCAAAGAACTACAGTCAGCCCTCCAGGAGTTCAGCTCCCCGTGAAAGTGGAGAAATCATGATGATCTCTGAGGGGTGGGATGGGGCACTGAACTGCAATGGTCCTTGGGGAAGAGGAAGAGGAACAGGCACAGCATGCCACTGCCACTTCACTCACCTGCAGATCCTGGCTCCTTTTAATTTTCCTATATATATGTCTGTTTCACCCAGTACACAGGAAGAGGAAATCTAACCAGGATCCACTGTGTTAAGTGAGGTGCTATGTGTGTCTGTTTCTCTCAGGTCAAGGCTGATACATGTGGTACACCCAGCTCCCAAAGGTAGGGGTGCCCTGCTGTGAACATAAGGGGGTGGGGAGAGGTTATGGATCATTGCCTATGCCATACCAGGTTTCCAAACATCCCTTCTGAGGATGGTACTGTTGTGTGAATGTTTTTATTACAGTTCCGTCTTCGAAAGCCAGGCAAAGTACATGCAGTAATCCCTCCCCTCCCCCTGACCTCCTGGTTCCTTGTTGACCTCAAGATCAAGAGCCAAGCTTGGTTTGGGGGATGTGAATGTTCACACAGCAGTCCCATCTTCAGGAGGCAAGTGCAGCAGTACAAATTAATGGATAATCTACACTGCAAGCGTAAAATCCATGTATGTGGAAAACCAACTGTACACCAGTAGTTCCATGTATCATAATGAGCTTTGGATCTACATGTCCATAACAGCTGTAACATTACACAATCCACCCATTTTAGAAGAGCTTCAAAAGCAGTTTATATGAGGGGCTACTTTTCAGTGAATGGGCTGTTAAAAAATCTCAACAGGTCACTCTTCATTTTACCACCAGCTCCTGCTTTTCAGACCAGTACTTATTGGTACTGATGTTTATATTGCTTACTATTTGATTAGCTTCCCTTTTGCTCCTTTTGCCCCTGTCACATGCATCTTGACCCGAGCACTGCTCTGATACATTCCTCAAGAACTTCCTTTTGTTCCAGTTACATGTGTCCTATGACTTTTTCTTAGCCCTTCACCACCTATAGGACTCCTTTATCCTGATTTTTGCTCACCCTTTACCGTCTGTCCTCTGGTCTCTTAGTCTTTTGGGTTACAAAACCATGTATGAATAGATGAAAAAGATGAAATGTTTTGAATTCTTCAAAACAGATACCCTTCCTAAGAATGTGCTATTTATTCAGGTCCCATCTACACTGCCATATAAAGCAGTTTAACTGCATTGAACTGCATTATATGGCAGTGTAGGTGGGGTCTAAGGGTCCGTCACTATTTTCTGCAAGTTTGAATGTGGAAGCTTTTGATACACAGCAAACCCCTGTTAAAACAATGCATCAAGGCTAATGAACTTTCACATATTGGCTGCATTATAAATCAGTGTTTTTAATTTCATACTGCTTTCTCTTACACATTTCCTAGGGCGAATTAACCATGACTAGTGATATGGAGAACTTACAGAATGCTATCTTCTTAGACACGGTACCTGAGTCATGGACAAGGAGGGCTTATCCATCCATGGCTGGTCTGGGTAGCTGGTTTGCTGATCTTCTGAATCGCATCAAGGAGCTTGAGACATGGACTGGGGACTTCATGCTCCCATCTGCAGTGTGGTTGGCAGGATTTTTCAACCCACAGTCTTTCTTGACAGCTATAATGCAGTCTACAGCCAGAAAAAATGAATGGCCCCTGGACAAAATGACACTACAGTGTGATGTGAGCAAGAGGAACCGCGAGGATTTCACCAGCGCACCCCGGGAAGGTGCATGTGTCCATGGTTTGTTCATGGAAGGTGCACGCTGGGATATGCAGGTAAATAAGCTGGAAATCTATTGTTATTTATTTATTATCTAACTTTCTGAATTCATTTAGATTTATTAGATTTGAAATTGCCCTGAGTAAGAGAACCATTTATTATCACTATGAGCACTTCTTGTTAAAACTTCCAGAAATAACGTTTTGCTTTCTCTTACCTACGTGGACACAATAGATTGGAATCACAGCACACACTATAGGATGTCTTGCATGGCCATGTTGTCATGACAGCAGTGCCTAATGGTCCTGATCCCCTATTGCTAAGCGACTAATGAAATATCACCTCTTCAAGTATTAAAGTGTTCATTCAAAGCCAGGGCTGGGAGTAGCAACAGGCTTGCTCTGTAAGTACAACACTTGTGTCTTGCCATGATATTCAATGTCTTGAGAGTAAATGCTTCATTTAAAAAATAATTGTGGAAAGTTTCTGGCAAATCTTAAATGCCAAGTGGGACCATCAGTACCTTACTCTTAAGATTTTTTTTTGTTATCTGTACATTGATAATGAAACCGAACTGAATCTTTGTGAGTTTCCATTTCTGTGATGAAATTTACTTCTTCATGTAGATCGATATGCAATATAGAAATATCAATTAGATAAAGAAATTGCACAAATTTTTGACATAGTCTGCTTTTCATGTGCACCCTTATCTATACAATACTACTTCCAAAAAAAAAAGCAGATAACATTTTTTTAAAAAAAAATCTCTGGTTTTAAAAGACGAGGGAACAATAAAGGGCTTAATTTAGGCTGCAGGTTGCATTTCAAGGGAGATTCTAAGCCATATGAGCCAAGGAGCCGAGCAATTCAATTGACTTCAGGCAGGACTGATCACATGAGGCTGAGAGGGAACGTACCTGTCTAACTTGAGCTCAGCCAGGTCGGGGGTGGGGGGGAGGACTTCTCCAGTCTTGCCTGGAAAAGACAGGGATAATTCAAACTTGGGACCTTTCCCAAGCTGTGTCCTATAGGGCGGTTCACGGGCTACGGAGTTTCCTCTTGGACTCTTCACAACCCTTTTTCTAATATCAAGGAATCTGATGAAAAATAGACTTGTTTCAGAGGAGCCACCTGACAAGTAGATGTTTTCAAATAAATCAAGGAGATTTTTTTAAAATCTTAAAAACTGTTTCATGTGTAATGCATACATGTTTATTACAAATCCCCCCCCCCCCCATCATCCTCATGACCTCCAAATCCTCAGCAGAACATTCCAAACTTTTCAAAAATGTGGGTTTTGATGAACAATGAGTGCAGCTAATTTGCAGGGATTTCTTCCCCTCATGTTGGAATTTGTATTTTTGATGCACATGTCTTGTGTCTACACTTCATGTAAAATTGGAACCCCCCTTTTTTGGCAGAGAAAGAGCATATATAACTCAGATTTTTAGTGTCCTTGCCAAAAGGAGCAGCTGGAGCTGTCAGCCTTGAAGCTAAAAGGCTTACTGGCTCTTGTCCCATAACTGATGCGTATAAATCAATGGCATTTTATATTCTCTAGCCTCCTTCACCAGAGGTCAGAACCTTCTTGCTGAAAGGTTTACTGACCTCACATGAGACCCAGCAGAGGATGAGCCGGGGTGAGGCTGGAGGGGATAGGTGAGAGAAAGTGCAATTGCCGAGTTTTCAAGGAGCATCAGTCTTGATTGAAGAAACTGACATCACCTTAGGTCAATTGGTGTTGGATGTGGATCTTGTTTCCTACCTATTGGGAAAGGCATGGAGGACCTTTTTGCTGTGAAAAGGAGGCATCCAGAAAGAAAGGGGAGAACAACAGCAGTAGCAGAAGTGGCTGTTTCCTCAGGATGACTTTCTCAAGCAGCTTTGCTTATTAGAAACATATTTCACTTACAAGCCTACATCCAGGAACACCTTTTGTCAGGCAGCCTTAGCTTAGCTGTTTCTAGCTTCCCCTCAGGCACAGATTTTTCCACTTTAGTCAGTGTCCCCTTGTGAGGTCAATGGGGCAGTATTCTCTTTGAATGTTAGCATGGTGATGAGATAGCTGCATGGCAAGGGGTTGGGGAGGTTTGTGGCCTACTTATAAAAGAATCCCTGTATACTTGGCATTTCTTCATTTGGATAATATTTCAGAAGGGAATGCCAAATACTCTCCACTATTGCCCTCTGGTTAACTTTAGTAACATCAAAACCTTGGCCCTAAAGATTACTCCTGAACCTTTGCACTGACCCCCCTTTTTTTTACTGACTCTGGGTCACTCTCTACCTTTTGTATCTGCTTCATTTTGGGATCCCAGGGGAGTGAGCACACTGCAGTTGTACTCATTTCATTTTGTCCCTTCGTGAGCTTCAGATGCTCTTTGTTCTGCCTCGTATCCACATGCACTTTTTCCTTTATGGTACAGAAAACTTATGGGGCAGGAAAAAAGGACCTAAAAAGTCAAGTGGATCAGTAATGTATGAAAAATGCACTGAAAACAAAGTAAGGAATTGACTGGAAAGAAGGAAAAATAGTGATATTCCTGTTTGTGTGCCATGAGAATGGCCAAGAGGAGTGACATTGCTGGATGTTTGGAGTCCTCTCAAATTGCACACAGGTCTGAGGGCACACCTGCCTAGTCATTTCACCATCCCTATGGGGCACCGAGGGGAAAGATACAGTAAACCCAAAACAATGATCTGAAGGCTCAGATTTGAGCCTATAATAGAATCTGAACAAAGGGACAATACTTTGACCAGACTCAGGATGGGGAAAGGCAAAGGGATTAATAGCTTGACTCAGAGAAATAAAAGGGAAGCTCAAGGAGATTCCTGGCTAGTTTACTGAATTAGTGGTTGCATCTTACTTTACTTATGTAGTACCACTATTGGTGTGAGAAACAAGGCAGTTTACACAATAAATGAAAGCACAGTATAGTTCAAAATCTTTTGATAAAAACAAACTATCTTATTATAACAAGCTATCATATTTGACTATTAAAAGACCAATGAATGAATCTTAGAGTAAACCAAGCCTACATTCACCTACAAGTGAAGATAACCAAACCGAGGTTGTCATATTGTGGATGTATCTTGAGACAATGGATTCATTGAAAGAGACAAAATGGAGTTGAGTCTAGGCTCAATCAAGGAAGCCACAGCCACAAGTTTGCAAAATCTCTGCAGAGCAGGGTATGACCAGTGATCTTGGAGGTCTCTTATTTGTAGAGTTGCCATAAGTTAAAGTCAACTTGATGGAAAACAAAAACAAATTGGAACACCATTAATATAAAGCATTTTAAATCATTTAAAAACATATTCGGATAGAGATACAGCTCTCTCATGCACAGGTGCCCTTTCTTCACAGTCTGTCACCAAATGTCTCTTTGAATAAAAAGGACTTTACCTGTTACAGAAGGAGGGCAGAGAGTAGGAAAACCAAACTTCCTGTGGAATATTGTTCTACAAGCTGGGAATAGCCATGGAGAAGGCATTTGGATCCTGCTGACTAAGTTTTACAAAGTGGTTCTTTAAGAAATAGAGGTGCTGAAATCAAAAGAGACAAGGGGTCTGTGTGTGTGTGTCCAGCTAGTGCCTTAATCTGCCGATCTGCTTTTTTCATGAGGATTCTTTATTGTCCAGAAGCATCTACATAAAAAAGAACCAAAGCAGCAGATTAAAGCACTCACTAGCTGAGCATCCCTTTTCTCTTCTGTGCTAAGCACCTCTATCTGAGTATATGACAAGGTTATAAACTGGAGAATTTAAAAGTTCTTTTGTGAGTTGCCTTGCTAGGTAGCAACCTGATGATCAAGAAGACACATATTTTGAATTAATGATCTTTCATTCTGCAAGAGAACAACTCCTTTAATTAAGGGCTTATCCAGAAACAGGAAAAGGATTGAGACTTTGTAATTCTTTATGTCTTGATTTTACCTGCATATTCTTAGTTTTGCATCCAGACATTTTCTTGAATATATCAAAAATATATATACTCCCCTACTGGTTTTTTCCTTCTCACTTTGCACTGGTTGTGTGTCACATTTAGACACAGGCAATGTTTCGGAAAATTTCTTTCACCAATTTCCACTGAGATGTTTTGAATTATTATTCAGGAGTCTTAGTCCAAGGGCTAAAGTGCTCAACAGTTAGCTTGGCCACTGTTGAAGATGGATGCTGGAAAAAGTCACAGCATGTCTCGGTAGCAACCATCTTAGCTAGCCCATGGAGATGCATTGTAGTTTTGGAAATACTTGGTTAATTTAAACTGACCACCTGTGGAATAGGAATGAAAAGTCATTGATTATGTTGAGAATATGTTGATTTAGAGGAAAGATCATTCCCCAAAAGAAAACAATCAAGCAAATGAAAGTCAGAAAGGACAGAAACAAAACTGAGGCCCTTTTGATTTTTCTCAACTGTCTGGATGGACATTAAGTCCAGAGGGCAGTTGAAATTACAATTTACTACAAATTATACAGAGAACAGTTATATGACTATCGTGGGCTACTAAAAAGACAATTAAGTAGGCCTGAGAGTAGATCAAGCTTGAACTGTCCCTAGAAGTAAAGATGACCAAACTGAAGCTATCATACTTTGGACACATCAAGAGATAACATATCAGAAAAGAGAGCAAAGACTGATAAAATGGAAGCCAGTAAAAAAAGAGGAAGACTTCATTACAAGTGAATAGCCTCAACATTGCAAGAAACTAATTGCTGTGGGTAACAGTATGCCTTGGAGGTCTCTGATTCATATAGTATCCATAGGTCAAAATAGACTTGAAATCAGTTAACAACTGTCTTCCAGCTGTGATAGGTCACTTAGCTTAACTCAGAGGAACAACTAAGGAATGTTGACAAAAATACAAGATGCAGATTGTATTACGGCAAGCACCATCATGGCTGAGCTCAGTAACAAGAATGTCTGATCAAATTTAATAAGGTAGTTTAGAAAATTGGAAATCGTGTACTTCTATCTACAGCCCACTTCCCCACTTCCAAACTGAAGACATCACCAGCCATGTGCTGTAATTGTGGCACCATGCCATGGGAGATAAAACAGCCTTTTAAACAAAAACCTTATCTTCAAAGACATTCTCTTTTAGGATTTCTCTCTGCCGCAGAACATTAAGCAATAATAATGATATCACCTGCGATTAATCATTTTGAAACAAAAGTGAACGAGGAATAAAAGCATACCTGTATTGAAATGGACCCTGCTGATTGTGTGCCAGATACTTCTGTTAGCTACCTAGGTATTCTTTCAGGGACAAATGCAAGTGACAATATGAAGGATTATTAACTCACCTGTCTGCATCCAGTCTTTCTGGGCTTCATATCTACTAGAAATTAATCCTTCAGTAAGTGCACGAGCCCTGTAGTTCAGGGTAATCATTTTGAAGAGCACTATAAGGTGATGGCTGCAGCCAAAGATGGCATTTCCCCTACTGTCCTGCAGTCAAGGGAATTTTCTGTATTCATATTAATATGCAGTTGGCTTACAACTATGATTGAATCTTTAACAGCCTTCTGCTTAACAAAAGAAACCCCAACAGAGTTTGCAAGGAACTAAATTTCCTGAGAGGATTAATTGCGTTAATGGTAGATGAAATAGGTATGCGGGGAAACCTGTCTCCTTACTGTTGCAAAGACTGGATTCCTCTGCTCTGAAGAGAACAGCAAAAAGGGATTCAGAGTGCTGTTTGACAGTTCCATCCAAGCCTATTCCCTCCTCATCTTTTGCTTTTCATTGGGGCAAATAAAGAGATTCTGGTTAAACCAGGCCTTGGGAATTTTGTGCAGAAAAAGGGATGGCAATGGAAACGTTTAAGTAAAATCAACATTCCTATGCTCAAGAAATACTTTGGCGTTGATGAGCACAGAGGTGGTGCATGTGTGCATGCATGTACCCCTCTGTAGACCAAACAAGATTTCCAAATAGCCAAAATGATTGTTTCCAAGCTAAAGCCACCTTTGATCAGCATAGAGAGAAACTAGGCTAGCATTCCAATGGGAAAGCTTTCCAGAGGAGAATCATGCCTCTTTAACTTGTGTCAAAAGCAAAAATGAGGATGCCCTTGGAGGTAAATGGGGTGGGACGAGGGGAATACTATGTGCTATAATCACCTAATTCTACCACCCAGTCTGCCTATAAAGCTTATCTCACACACTCTGCATTTGGTATGTACATGCAAAAATGATGCACAACAAATGCAGACTGACAAAAGCATGTGCAATGTTAAAGCCAGTCCATATGGCCAGCAGGTGCTTTGACTCAAAGAAGGTTGATTGTGCTGGTATTTGCATAGCTTACCTCCATCAGATATGTATGCAATCCCAACACACATTGCTACCACATAATATGTAAAGCGATCTTACACTACTCATTCATTGCCCCATAGACAGTGTCTGCATTAGTTCTAGGAGGATAGATGTGTATGCGTGTGTGGGGGGAACAATCCCTGAGCTTCCCCACATTGAGCTCTTTGGGGACAAGTAAAAGGTGTTGGCAGTATTATTTTTAAGATGCATTTTATTTCTGTCCTACCATAGTTTTATTGTTTTTATTTGCTGTTTTACTACTTTGCATTCTGATAATATCCTCTATTTGCTTTTTGCATGTTTTAATTGACAGTTTAAAAAATATTAGCTGCCTTGGGAATTCTGTGCTGAAAAGGGATGGTGGTAGAAATTTTTAAGTAAAATCAACATTGCTGTGCCCAAGAAATATGTGGTGTTGGTGAGCACAGAGGCTGTGCATGCATGCAGGCATATACCCCTCTGTAGTAAAATAATATTTCCAAACACCCAAAATGATTGTTTCCAAGTTAAAGCCTCCTTTGATCAACATGGAGATAAATATGCAAATAAAAGCACAAAATAATGGCTTGGAATGATCTGAGAGAGATTGAAAACTTACGTCAGCCTTAAAGTAAAGGAGCTATTTTGTGAGCAATTGATTTCCTTTGTTTCAGTCAAACAGCAAGGTGCCAGCTCAAAATATGCTTTAAAAAATTAAGCCTGTACTGCATGTTGAAATAAGTTGCATCCACAGCTCCCATATGATATGTTGTTGCAAGGATTATTTAGTGTTTACTTGCTGCTTTGGCAGTCTTAAACTAGACAGGTGCTATTATCAGAATTACCTTAATGTAGCAGTTTACATATTATTAGTGTTGTAAAACGATTAAGATTGTTTACTATTGCATGTACACAATAGAATTCAAATCATTGTCTTCTGAATAATCTGAACAGAAGCTTTTGACTGATGCACAGTCCTCACCAGTGGAGCCTTGAGAGGCGACTTATTTGGACTACAACTTCCAGAATTTTCCAGCCAAAAGGGCCAGAGCTGGGATTATGACAATTATAGGGCAAAATACTCTTTTCTGAGTGCTACAATGCAGCACAAATGTAAAGATGTCTTAATAATCGCTGCAGAGCAGAGACAGTGGGAACCTCTGGCCTAAAACTCCCACCATGCTTGACCTTTGACCATGCTGGGAACAATCAATTTGGCTAAAGGACAAGTTATCTTGTGTGTTGCACTGTAGACCAAAATACCTAGAGAGTCAAAGATTTCCCACTTCTGACATGCCGTTTTTCTGATTTTTCTCTGAGAAAGGGCAAGGAGGGGGATATGGTCATCCCATGAGCTATCTATCCCTTTGCAGCAGCTGGGAGGCAAAGGCATAGGTTCCTGTTATAGATTGCCATCTTGCTAAGAGTCTATTCATCTTTGTAACTAGGAATTCTCAACTTTACCTTTTCCTGTTATTTTTCCTTCCCTTTCTTCCCAGTGTGCCCTAGCCAACCTCATAGGATTTAGAGCAGAGGATTTGATTCAACAAGGCAAACTGCCCAGTGGAAGATTGAAGTGGGGAAGCCATGTCTCTTTGAGACTCCTTTTCCCCTTGTCTGAATGAGTAGAAGCATCTTCAGATGGGATAATGTCACAAGTAACACATCCCTCCCTTGTTCTTTTTCATTGTCACTGGTGGCATTTTCCAGGCAATAGTACAAGACCAAGTGGAGCACAGAGGCAGCCAATAAGCTCAACATCTAATCTAGGCCATCTCCCATCAGGCTAGGAATGGTGGGAAGGAAGCTAGACTGTTACTCCAGCTTGCTCTGGTATCCAACCTATAGCCATTTTCTCTGGGCTTGATGAAACAGGAGGTGAAGGGGAGGAGATTCTTTTCCCCATCTCCTGCCACAGGAATAAAGATGGTATAAAAACCAGTAGGACCTCTGTCAGAGACTTGGAGCTTCCCAGGCACCAGGAGTATGGGACAGACCCAGGCAGTGGCCACATGACTGTCACACAAACTGAAGATTTGTAAGGGAATTTGTACAGATAGGTTTTTTTTTTTGCTCTGCTCAGCCCTTAAAAGAGAATCAGACAGAACTGGAGGTCTTGGCCCACATGAAAAAAATGCCCATGAATTTCTGTGTGGGAAAGGGGGGGGGGGGAAGTTTCAAGCCAATATGGAATTGGGATGAATGGGGGATTCTGAAAAATTCAATAAAAATAAAACTGACAGCTGTTCCTTTATACAGAATATACTAGATCATGAGAATGGCTAGAGGTCAAGGAATATGGTAACGTTTACAAGAGAAGGACAAAATTTGCAAAAGCTTACATTTTCTTGTAATTTATTTTGACTGCTCTCTTTGCAGATGGGGTTAATTGCTGAAGCCCGGCTGAAGGACCTGACTCCACCAATGCCCATTATCTTCATCAAAGCCATCCCAGTTGATAAACAAGATACCCGTAATGTGTACCCATGCCCTGTATATAAAACCCGCCAACGGGGACCAACCTACGTTTGGACCTTTAATCTGAAGACCAAAGAGAAGCCTTCTAAATGGGTTTTGGCAGGAGTGGCACTTCTCCTGCAAATTTAAACTCCCTCACACCACCTTCTTATTCAAACTTATTCCTCAGGTAGTCACAATTTCTTTATTGGAAATTTTCACATCACACATTTTTGGACATGATGTGTATACATGATTTAAAGGTGCTGACATGCAAGAGTGTATGAGCCATTTTATATCACACCACAGGTTTCAAGCTGCCTTGCAAACAGCATCACTTTAATAAAATACAACTTTTTCAAATATCTTTTTAATTATATTAACTCACCTGTGTGCTGTTTTTAATAGAAAAGCAAGAATAAAATGTAAATAAATGAACACAATAAATAATTACACAAATATAATTGACTCATTTTGTAAATAAGAAAAAAAACATAGCTTTATTAACTATGTTCATTAGCTATGTTCCTTGATTAGCTTTAAACATATTTAGAAAGTTTATGGAAATTAAGAAACTTTCACCTAATGTGAGAAAGATGATAAAAAAGAAACTGTCTGAGCTTCTCTAATGAGAGCATCCCATAGCTTAGATAGGAAGGCTACTACTTAGAAGTCCCTCTCCTCAGTAGGCGTCCAACAATTTCCTTTGATTGGGGCACACCGGCAAGGCCATCCAAATATAAAATCAAGGGAAAAGCAGGTTGAAGTGAAGGCAGGACTGTTACTAAAGCCACGAAAGGTCTTAAGGGTCACAGCTATCAGCCTGAATTATACCTGGAAACTGAGCACATAAGATTAGAGATGTATGTTATCTAAACATCACCTCAAATCATTCTCCATTGAAAGCTGTTCACACATGAAGCAGCCAGTTGCCAAATGGGGAGCGGTCAACATCCGTGTGTGAACTGCTGTCAAGAGGCATATTTAACCACAGAGTCAAAACACATATTTATTTTACAAATGGTAGATCTTACAAATTTGGTGCACATCTTATGAGAAAATGTCTCTATGGGAGAATACATGTTAAAAGCTGCATTGCTCTGAAAGGCAATGTTGCAACTGATGTAATAAGATTGATTCTCAATGAAACTTGGTGGGGAAATAGAAACGGGTGACGATTTTCCATTGTACAGCTGAGAGTATTTCTCTGCACGTCAATGGAATCAGTCATTTACACTTTAGGATGATATAGTGGATTGTCCCTCACACAGAGGGAGGATTAATTCTACTTCAGCTATCCCTGAAAAATGCTTATTTTCTTCAACAAAGCCAGTAAAAGACTTGCCCTTGCATCATCTACAACATATTGAAGCATAAAGGAGCCAAGTCTGACACCTTCCTTTGCAGACTGCTCATTTTTACAGAAGATTACACTGTAGAAATGCTGGAGGGAAGTGAGTTTTCACAAAGCTATTAAGGTGAAATCTGTAGTGAAGGGGGTAAACTAAACATTTCAGAATGAGACATGTTACCTAAATAAAATGGAAATGTTTTGAATAGTCTGGTAAATTATATTCTTCTCTCACTCTCATGGTTGTTCTCTGTGACAAACCGGTACGGCTAGTCTTCCAGCACTTTGAAGTAGGACAGGCTGCCACGTATTCTTTGTCTGTTTCTCAAAGATAAGCCATCACCATTCACATCTGCAACATCATGCTTTGGATACTTGTGAACACACATTTGAGGAGAAAGGTCACCCCCATTACCCGAATTTCATTGAACCTGCCCCTGCTAAGCACTCTGGCACTTAGATGAACTCTGACTACACAAGAAAAACAATTAACTCCAATTGCCAGTTCATTTTGTTTATTAAACTTCAAGTGGAGAGAAGTTCAAAAGTGGTGACTTCTAAAAAACAAACAAACAATGAACAGGACACCAATTGCCAACTCAGTCTCTAAGAGCCTTGTTCTACTAATGATTGTGGTTTATCATTGTTATGCTACCGGGATTGTAAAGCTGCCGTTCAGGGATTCCCTTACATTTTACCAATTAGGCCTTACATCAGGGCTTTGACCCCAAGGTATATATATGACTTTTGATAAGCAGATTTATTGCTTTCATGTGTCAATGCTAGCTGATCACTTTAAAGATAGGAGCCCCTAGTGGTGCAGTGGATTAAACCCTTGTGCCAGCAGGACTGAAGACCAACAGTTTGGAGATTCAAATCCAGGGAGAATACAGAAGAGTTCCCTCTGTCAACTCCAGCTCCCCATGCGGGGACATGAGAGAAGCCTCCCACAAGGATGGGAAAACATCTGGGCATCCCCTGGGCAATGTCCTTGCAAATGGCCAATTCTCTCACACCAGAAGCGACTTGCAGTGTCCCAAGTCTCTCTTATTATAAAAAAACCTTTAAAGATCTGAAGATCTGTATCACCTCACTCCACCCTTAAGGGCAGTGGTCATGTTTGAAACTTTCTGGATCCTGTTATTCTATTCCACTCTCATTACTATATAAATACATCCAGTACTTTAGACTTACGAAAATACCATTCTCTTGTTGCATTTCAGGATGATTAATTGATATCTACCAGTCTTAAAGGTGCTGCTAGGTTCCTTTCTATCCACCTCCCTTTTACCCTTTTTAGGTTGCAATAGAATAATATAGCTACTTTAAATAAAAATAAAAACCTCTAGAAATTAAGATGCAACTAGCCATTCTTATTTTATCTAAATGCCTTTGAATTTATTTGAAATCACAAATGCAGAAATTATTCCTCCTCTGCTTGAATTGCAGAAGATGAATGAAATGCCACTTCTTATAAATGTTCAGCAAACATGTTGCAAACAAGATTGTCTGGAGGCGACATCTCAGTTAAGATAATAACTGCTGGCTGTTTGAGAAGATGGGAACAGTCAATAACGTGACAGCTAGAATTCATGTACCAGCCACTGCTGAAATGCCCAAAAGCTGGGCAGATGTAAAATGGCTATTGGGAACCAGCTGATAATTGGCTAAGGCATCTAGATTTGTGCAAATACATGTTGGTGCAGATGTACACCTGTTTGCATGTCTGAACTGTGAGATTATTGCTGCTACAGCTGTTTTGTTGGAATATGCACTTCAGCATATGTAGTGTTAGTACTATCCATTATACATGTTTGTATGGGGTTTTTTTGTTAGATAAAAGAGAATCTTTAGTTTAGTACTGACTTGTAGTTTTAAAAAGTCATCCTGGTCAGTAAGCTGTTTGGCAACAAACAAGGCTCTGGAAAAGGGATAAATGGCAACAGATGCCTGTAGTGTAACCTTTAAAAATGACTGCTTAAGAAATCTGTAGTTTTTCCTGCCTTTCTGATCTTCCCTTTCTTTCGTTTCTTTCCTTTTTTTGTTATTGCAGCAAGCAACAGATAGATAAGGAATCAGAGGTAACAAGGCAGGACAAAGAGATGTTTGAATAAACCAAAATGGAAAGCTGATAGAATAAATGGATTTAGTGAAAATCAAATTGAAATAATTAATAAAGACAACCATTTATGCCTTATCATTGCACAGTGGTACAGCTTTACAGTGTCATAGTTTACCATCACAGTTTGCTCTGGATGCCTTATCTTTCTCACCTATGTGATCTCTTGGGGAAATCGTTCAGCCTTGTGCTGCAACAAATTGAGACCCTGAACAAGAAAATTGACCACCTTTTCCAAGGAATTCCTTTGATTGTGAAAAATCCTACTCCTGGTGACATTCTAGAAGCTGAACCTGCTGTGTTGAAGAATTTTGTCGAGGATGTAGCTGCAACGGAAGGCCAGGAGAGAAATAGGTTTGAGGGGCAGGAATTGAGGCTTTTGGGGGAGGGGGGAGGACGGGTCAGGAAAAGACAGGTTTTGTCTTGCACAACATAGACAATAAGGTAACAACTGAGTCTGTTGAAGAAACTTTGGACACTCCACACCATTGTCAACATCTGCTGAGAATTAATAACTTGGCAGTGGAAGTTTCAGACACGTTATGGCAAATGGACATCAAAGACAGTGGTCCAGATTTCTCTATCTCAAATTTTATCTGTAAGCCGGTCAGAAAGTAAAGATCAAAACCATCGACTGGCTTTATAGAGACTACCAATCCTGGGACCGTTCTACATATCTTCTTATCTCATTGGAAGACAGACTGCTAGGGGAGGAACTGTTATCACTTGGGTCTCAAGTGAAGCACTGGGGCATCATTTTTAGAAAGGTGTTTGTAGATCCATCAATCCACCCTATGGTCACTGGGCTGTGGTCACACCTGCAAGTTTCCAAAAGCCCCAGTATTAGGGTAGAAAGTCCACCCATTTTGGCCCCTTCCTTATCAGAGTTTTGTTTTGAGACTCCCTCCCTAGTGCCCATCCCTGCCTCCTCCAATTTCCAATCCCGCCCACACACACTCCCATTGTTTAGCCCCCTCTCAATTTCAGATGTCTCTTTCTCCCTATCTCATTTGGAGATCTCTTTCTCCTCCTCTGGTAAAATAAATTCGTTAGGTGGCTCTCCGGTTTTGAAGAGCTGACTAATCTCTCCAGATCATAGTTCCAATCAGCCCATCCATCGGGGGGGGGGGGGGGGGGG